AGGAATCGGTTCAGGAAGTGGTTGCAAATGAATTGACAGGTGGAGAGACCACCCAGATGGCTCTTTGTTGTGTTCTCAGGCTGTTGAGGTTCATGGCTCATAAAGTATGGGAATAAGGAAAGGTGGGAAGGAAGCGGCAGAAGTACAGAGAATTTTGTAAGATCTCATCTACAAAGTAGGGTTAACTACAGCTATTGAGAAAAGAAATACAGGGAATCAGCTTTCTTGGTGAGGATGAGTGCTTTTACTGAAGCTGTTTACTGTACCATATATATAGAGTATAGAATTGTATATCAGATTTTTTATTTATTGGAACAAAAAACCCCAAACACCTATGCCAGTATCACATTCTTGTGCTGAATATCCAGGGAATTTTTGCTGGAGGCCTGGAAGGTAGAGTTTGAGCTAAGATGCCCTTTGCAGAAGGAATTTTGTTTTCACTGTTGACTTGAATTAAGAGTATTGTGTGAGAGCAGGATGCTGTATGATGTAATTTCAGCACCCAAATTTCCTACTGGGAGTTTATCAGAATGTGATAAATAAGTAACTATTTAAAGTGGTATGTTATCCTTGTAATTCCTTGTTTATACTACTATTATATTGTAATCCTCTTTTCTAGCCTGCTGCAGTCAACAGTGTTCTAGCTAATAAATTTATTATTGCTTTCCTCCTAGCAAGGAAGAAAGGTTACGGGTCTGCTCCTCTTTCTCATTTCAATACCAATTAGAGTGGGATTGGGAGCTTCATGAGTGGCAGAGTGCTCTGACTCTGGAATGTCACCAGTGTGAGAAATGAAGATTTATTGTTTCCATCCCTAAAGCAATATGGAGAGTCATGGTCATGTTTAGTCTCTTGTGATACTTTTTTTCCTATTATGTCAGTAGTTCAGAACAGTATAAAAACTATACATGTGCCACAACAAAACACCAATATTCAGAAATGATGTTTTATGAACCTGTAACAGCTGAATTTAGTGTTGCTTTAGCACAGTGGTTCAGCCTCAGCAATTAATATCGCCTGATAAACTTAACTGTGTTTCTTAGATGAGAAGTGTTTCACAGCCATAGGGCTTTGATGAATGTACATTCTAGTTCTTGGGAACTTTACTGAACAGCAGTGCTAACTTAGTCTTATCTGGACAAGCCACAAATAATTTAACAATCCAAGACATTTAAGTCACAGTTTGAAAACTGGTAGTTTGATAAGCTTTTTTCTATTTTTAATGTTATGCTTTGCAGCTTCAGAAGCTTCTTACTATGGACCCAACAAAGAGAATTACCTCAGAGCAGGCTTTGCAGGACCCCTACTTTCAAGAGGATCCTCTGCCTACATCAGAGTATGTATTTGCTCTTCCTTGTTCTTCAGAGGTGTCTTCTTTCTGCTAGATGCTAATTCCTGAAATGAGACAACAACTGAAAAATTTAGATACCTACCTATATCCACAAGAAGTAGTGGCTCAGGCATGCTCAGTGTGGTACTGAAGTGTCTGTATCTGCTGATGCCAGAACTGAGTGGTCGTGGACAATAACACAGTACAGCACTAGTGTTGTAATTCTGGACATACTACCAAAGCTAGTGGGGCAATATTATTGCAGTATTTAGAGAATTAATCTGTCCCCTGTTCTGTTCTGCCTTACACAGCCTCACAGAGCCCTGTTCTCTGTTGCAGGCTTTCCTTGTGCCTCTCCCTAGGACAGTTCTCTGTAGCCCCTTCCCATACCCTCTTGCACAGGGTAACAGTATGAGGAGAGGAAAGTGGAAAGATCAATGACTGCCTAAAATCCCACAGGTCCCTTGTTCAGAAGGCTTGGGAGTACAGATTTTATATCTCTATATACTTTATAGTCATGGAAAATTCAAATGATACATCCAGTTCCTACTGGCAGACTTTCCTCTTCCAGTCTCCCCAGTTTTCAGAAGCATGGTGGTTCATAGCATTATGATCTTTAGGAGCTGGATGCAAGGAGACTTCCACCTTTGCTGTTACTGCTTCCTCAGCTAGCAGGAAACACTAAAAGGAGGGAACAACCACTGGAGTGCAAAAGGAGTCTAGTTGAGACTAGTTGGGGGTTTTTTTCTTTCTTTTTGTTTGGATAAGCCAAACACTACATGGCAGCTAGATTAGGAACTGTTTACACACTTTCAAAAATTATGTCACGTCAATTGTATTCTGAATGCTGGCACAGAAACCTAAGAAATGGATGCTGGTTAAGATCTACCAGTAATTCTCTATTTTGTGTTTATCTGATACTATCCTATGTAGAGCTATAGCTCCCCATGGTTTATAGGATAACATTATGATAGTCTCTGCCATAAACATTAAGGAATGTTCCAAATCCCATTAGCCAGATGAATTTGAAAGCTATCTTTCTTTTTTTATTTTTTTCCCTAAAGAAGACTTGAGAATCTAGTTGAAAGTAGCTGTGCAGTTGTGATTGGCAAATACATTTAAGCCCACTGTAAGATAAGGTGGGCTGATAAGACATTAGTACTCTGGATCAGGCCCTTTGTTCAGTGAGCCATGCGTGTTCCAACTAGGTGTTGTGGAACTTCTGACACTGTGCTTGTTCGTTTTGTCATCTGGATCAACAAGTGATTGTTCTGGCATTCGGGCATGCTCAACCATGCCATGATTTCTAAATGATGGCCTCATGCCGACAGCAAAGAGATCTGCCATGGTGATCAGCACCTAGCTGCTGGTATCTGCTGCTGTCTTGGGTGCTCACAGTGCCACGCGCTTACAGAAACAGGACTCATGAAATGCAAGAAATTAAATTGTGTTATATTCACCTGTTTTTAGTATATATTAAGTAAATGTATGTCATATGTACATATTTGTGGAGTGTTTACTGTTTACTGTGTTTCAGTGTATTTGCTGGCTGTCAGATTCCATACCCTAAAAGAGAATTCCTCAATGAAGATGAACCTGAAGAGAAAGGGGATAAGGTATATTAAACTCCTTTTTTTCTTTCTTTCTTTCAAGAATGCAGTAAGAGTGTGTCGTGCTGCTACCAAATGAAAACTAATGAAACACGAAGAGTTAACCAAAAATGCGTTTTCCAGGCAAGGCTCTCTTAAAACTGCTTCCCAGACAGATTAAAACTATCAGATGACTGTGGTGTGTTTCAGGCAGTATCAGCAGCACAGTTTGCCCTGACCTGTGGGGAATGAGCTGGATGGGTTGTCTGTCAGCAATAGACTGTTTCCAGCTGCTGTCATTCCAAGAGGACCTTGCTACCTCCTCCTGCATCGCATGATGAAAATACATTGTGATCACATGAAAAGAATGGCATTTCCATTGTATGGCTGGCATACATCCAGCCATTTGAAAGTAGATGGCTGTCAGGGTCTCAAATAAATAGTGGCAGCGTGCTTCTGGCACTACATCAGAACATTTCATCTGTCTGCACGCAGTTTCCTGATCATGTTTTAAGGGCCCTCAGACAAAGGAGTAGTAAGGAGCGTGAACTGTTCTGGTAACAACAATCTTCTCTAAATACTCTTTTTCCCATAGATGTGGGCAAGAACTTGTTTGTGTCCATAGTAAATTTTGGTGTGTTTGCAACATGATCTGACCTGCTTTGTGTGCGTAGCTTAGCTGTGCGACGTGACCTCAGTGATTGTCCCATCACGTGGCAAAGGCTGGACAATGGTGGTATAGTGTATGAAACAGCTTGGGTTTTTTGCTTAAAAGTGTACAGTGAGACACCAACAGTAATTTATAGCTAGCAAAATGTGAAGAAAACAGCCTTAAAATTAAATTGTCTGAGGACTACATGAGGAGGACTGTTAATCTTTTGGAGAAACCATTTTACTATATGTATCTATTGTTTTCAGAAGATTCTGTGTAACGTGAGAAATTATCTTAGTTTAAAAGTATGCCTATCACAATACATTTCAGACAGCAAATTTTGGTTTTGGAACAGGTATTGTAGATTCTTCTGTACCAAGAACAAGTGTAACATTTTGGATTTTTGTGTCCAGGTAGTTTTTTTTCAAAAAGAGGAAACAGACAGCTAAGCAAACGTACAATGAAACTCATGGTACTGATTTGATTGTAATTTGATTGTAGCTTTGCTTCGACTCTCAAAGCTTCAGAAACAAGAACAAACCTTATGAATTAAAATTACTTTGTCTTTTGTCAAGTGCAGCGTATTTAAAAGTACATATCTGTCTTTTTCCTGGGAGTGTTGAGGGGCGAAACAATGGCATGTTTATATTCAAAACAGCCGTTACATAAAAGGTCTTTGAGATCGTTGGGGACGGTCACGTATTTATGCACACTCCAAATTAAACCCTTTTCAAGCCATTTAGGTAATGTAAGTCATGCATTACTCATTGAATGTGTTCCCACAGTGTAGAAAATGTGAAGGTAAAGGATATTCTGGAAGTTGGTTCTGTGCCATGTTTTGTTTCTTTATGATGTTGTTGCAAGTTGAAAGGATTTTTTTTTTTTCAATAGTGTTAGTTGCTGGTTTGTTTTTAAAACCATAAATATCTGTATAGTCCTTTGGAAATCTAGAGGAGTTCTCTATGTTTGTTTATTTGGACCTTGCATCTGAAATGAATAACCTTTAAGAAAGGCATCCATTCTTCGCAATGGTTAATCATTAGGCAGCAGAGCTAAAATGAGTGTTTGTAAAATCAAGTTAAAAGATTCTTCTCTCATTCAGATTCTGTTAGGTGAGTTTCTGCTGGGTTGTTTCTAAGTAGGACCGGAATTTCGTTCTGGTGATTTGTGCTTTAGAAGTGATACATGGTAGGCAATATGTTGCTAACTCTAGACTTTTTACAAGTTTATTCATTTAGGAGCCACCGTGAACTAGACTGACCTGAGGACAATGCTTTTGCTGGCGTAAGCTGGTTTCGCACACTAAGGTGGTGCAGCTACAGCCCGGCCAGAGTCTGACAGGGTAGATCTCAGTCTCTACCCAGATGTGGTAGCTGCACAGAAGAGCAAGCTCAGACTAGTCAGGTGAATTTTGTGCTAATATCCAAAGCATAAAACATGGGACCTATGACAAACTGTTGCTGTCTGTAATTGTGAGAGTTCCTGCAATATTTGTTTACACGTAACAAAATTGCAGTTTTTCAGCTCTTACAGTAGCAACAACCTCACTTGTTTCCAAACACACTTATGAAAACACAAATTTCAGAATTCTGACACAAATACAACCTTGGTTATTGGTGGTTGTTTGTATAAGTGAAGCTCAAACTTTTATGAAAAAATAAATTCCTTCTTAACATTTTTTTTTTACAAGCTAACTTGATTAGCTTTTAAAATTATTAAAGTTTAGATCTCCCAGGAAACAGAATCTGGCTGAGGTGGCATTTGAAGACTACAGGCAGGAGGATGCGTTATTGTTTTTGCTAAATGTGAAATGGAAATGCAAGCCTCCTCTAAGTCCTTGAAGATGCGAGGCTTCTTTGTAATCTTAAACAAATACATCATTGCAAATTTCATCTGAATGTATCTTGGGAGACCGTTGTGATGAATGGCATAGATACAGATCTTTTATGTCATTTATCTGGGGTAACTAAATGCCTTTGGGTGATATGGGGCATCAAGAATTTTCTGCTAGTGGCAACTGATTGGCATGATTTCTGAGAAACAAATAAAATGAGATTTTTATGAAAGGCTGCTGTACAAAAGCTTTGATAATGGTATAAGCAGATATCTAGGAAAAAAAGACTATCCTGAAGTGTTCCATACAGTATATTGGGGGGTGGGGAGGGTAGTAAGGCTTTTTAATTCAAGCCATGACAATTGTAGGTTTTTTCCTGTGATGAACAAGTGACCTATCTCACATTTGGAATGAAATTGCTTTTCTTTGCAATTTTTTTACATGCAGTAGTGCTCTGTTGGAGGAGCCACCCCTGGTGCTCAAAAGCAAACAAAATGGGTGGTCTTTCCTTGTAACTGTCTGACCATGGAGGGCAGAGTTGCACTTTGCTGGTTTTCTAACCTCCCCTCCAGTTCCCTAGTACTTTTTGTAGGCTATAGGCCTCTGAAGCCAGGAGAGTACAACATCTTTTGCTCTTGTGTTCACCTTCTTAACTTTTTTCTCCCTTTTGTGGCACTTTTTCCTTTGTCTGTTTTCCTGCTGGATCCCAATGTAATCTTAATTGTCTGGCTTCTTTTCCTTTGCTAGTCTTCTCCTTCCCTTGCCAGGTTCTTCCTTCAGCTGTTTCCTCCTGTTTTGTCTTCAACTATTTGTCTCTGGTCAATTTTCACTTTCCTGCTATTTCAGTAAGATTTTCTGACCCTGTCCTTGGCACGTCATGCTGGACCGTATTCCCAGTGTACAGGTACTTACAAGCACAGGAGAGCAAAACAGTAATGAAACCTGTTTCTGGTTCTGCCACAGACTTTCCTTGCAACCTGAAAGAAATTATATCATTTCTCTGGCCTCAATTTGCTTACCTTTCTGGCAGTAATGCTGCCAACCTCCTTTGGGTTATTGTAACATGTCATTTGTGAAAGTTTGAAAAGTGGTTTTGGTTCTGAGTGAACAAGGCTGCTGAAGCACTTAGAATAATTTACTGTGGTTCACCACATCTGCCACTGAGCACTAGTGAAGTTTTGGGAGTTTTGATTCAGTTCATTAGGCGATCACTGCTTATAAATGGTTCCTTCCATCCTCTTCTCTGAGAACTTTGCTAGCTGTAGGAGGCACTAGAGTGTCCTTCCAGTTGAAGTCAAGCTTGCTTTGTTAAAAATACAAAATGCCCACAAGTGGGATAACCCCACAAGGCGTGCAAGAGCGTACGGAGAACGCGTTTCTCCTGACCCACAGCCTTGCTGTGTTTTCCCGTGGAGCAGGCAAAACTGCCTCCTTCTCCACAGACACAGTGACAGCTCCATAAAGCTCACAAACTATTTCAGAGCGAGTGACCGTGTTGTGTCGCATTTTCCCTTAGAATCAACAGCAGCAGAACCAACATCAGCAGCAAACAGCACCTCAGCAGCAGCCGCAGGCAGCGCCGCAGCAGCCGCAGCCGCAGCAGCAGAACAGCACCCAGACCAACGGGACGGCCGGGGGCGCTGGCGCCGGAGGAGGGGGCGCGGGCACAGGACTCCAGCACAGCCAGGACTCCAGCCTCAACCAGGTGCCTCCGAACAAGAAACCACGCATAGGGCCTTCAGGCACTAACTCAGGCGGGCCTGTCATGCCTTCAGATTATCAGGTACCTCTTGAATTTTTGCTGCTTCTGATACTGTATGGTCAAAATATACTTTTTGTCCTTCCCCACTGCCAGAACAGATCATGTTTTAGCAAATTTCTCATGTAACCTGAGGAGCAGGCGTGCTATGATATGTTAGATAAAAGTGTGAGCTTAAAGGTTTAAAGTAAAAGATTTTGTTCTGTGTTTTTTTCAATAGAACACTAGTACGAGTCGTATCTGTTGCACCCTGTAAAGTATTGAGGACTAGTGCACTCCAGGAAAGTATTTAAATATATGCTTAACTTTATGTTTGAGAGTAATCTTACTGAAACCAGTGGAACTATTTCATGCACGTAAATGCTGCATTAGATCAAGTTCAGGATACCCTGCTTTTGGCAATACTAAATCTTGTGTGAGAAGTAGACTTTGAGAAGACCCTGAGAAGCAGAAGCAAAGTTAGAACCATTTTATTCCTGGTTCATTTTACCTCATACTATCATATGTATGGAGTGGTTCTGTAGTTTGTTCCAGTATCTTGCTAAGTCTACTTCCAATGTTAAAGAAAAAATGCATGTTAGCACAGGAATGATGTTTTGGTTCATCAGTATGATTCATGCAGAAGTAGGGCACAAAGACACGCAATGTTTCTAATGTGACCAAAGTTGAATACATTTAAAGTTTTTGAGTGCAGTAGCATTCATAAGTAAAAGCAGTATCACCAAATTATTTTTGGATTTACATACTCGTCTTTGCTTACTAAAATTATATTTTCCACTGAAAAAGTGACTTACACTAAATATAGAAAGCCTTGAACTTACAAGGTTTTCAATACTTGTGAGTTTATATTTACTGGGACAGTGATTGAGTTGAAAGCAAAATAAGAAAAAGGTAGATATCAAAGGTAGATATCAAATTTTTAAAAGACACTAGGGATTCTGTCTAGTAGCCTTTGAGAGGATCCCACCTTGGAGAATGGTCTTTTTTCAGGCTACTTTAAAGTTAAACCAAGTAGCTTTTAAAAAACCCAGCTATGGAGTTTGCCTTGAAGTAGTCCTCCAGACCTTCTCCACAGACAATTGATTTCTCAGTGCCAGACATTTGTCTTCCATTTCTGTTTTACTCTTTTAATTAAAAATGATCATGAAGGCATTGAGGGCAATTTAAGGGTAAAGACAACTAAGTTACTTTTTTGAAAAGTTCCAGACAGGCTTGAGGTCTGGACAGATCACTACAGCTGTCTGACTACACAGTATTTATGGTTGGCCTGTTTTGGTCTGTATTTTGAGGACTGGTGTGCTGCATTTGATGATATCCATTATAGAATCTTTCTACAGGTCTCTGAATTGTTGGCAAACTTCCCCCTTACAAGTTGCTAGCAGTCTTAATTTTTTTTTTAAATAGATTACTTTTTTCTTACCTCCTATGACTCTTTCCTTCTAAACTTTACATCACAGGCATCAAAATTACTATCTGTGTGTTTCCTTGACGTCACTCACTAAATTGTATGGTCTGATTATCCATTTTACACTTGTGTTTGGCTATCTGCCCTTAAATTCTCGCTGACTGTCTTCTGTTCCAGAAAGGAATGTCTGCAATTTGTCCAAGTCAGACTTTGTTAAAAACAAATTCTCTTCTGTGGAACAAAAATAAGCACGGGCAAGTTAATGCATTCTTGTAGTCTTGTGGCATTAATTTTACTCCATTATATCTTACTAAGAAGTACGAAGCAGATTCCCTTTACTTGGAGTTTCATTTAGCTTGTGATCTAAAGTCTCCATTGAAACTTTTTTGTAGTTCACCAACCTCAATATAAGTTGCTTCCACAAATGACAGTGCCAATTCCTTGTTGAATTTTACTGAGCATTTCTTATGTGATCTTGGGTATTTCGTCTGGCATGATGAGCCAGTGCTTTTCATCCAGAACGAGTTCCTGTAAAGTCATAGCATTTATCACTATTCTTTTTCTTTTCTGTTAGAAGTTGCAAAAACTTTCAGAATTTTGAGACAAATTCCAGGTTTCAGACACTGTTAACAATCTAACTATGCAGGCCAAATATAATCTGGTTAACAGCATACATGCCACTGGGAGACATATCTTCTAAAGCCAGCATGCTGAGGTGTTATCTCCCAAACTGACCCTTACAAACAAGTGAAGTAACTCTGTACAACTATTAGTTATATTTATATTTTAATGAAATACAGAGGTTTGCAAGGTTGAACTGTTTTCTCTCTCCACCCTCACTGTGCTTCACCTTGGAAGCAACTTTCATATTCCTACATTAGACAGAACACAGAAAAAGTAATGTGATATATGTAGGGTTTAGTATGTTTTACAATTTATGTAAAATTAAAAGTATAAAGCTATGTACAGAAACAAAGGACAGAAGTGTTTTACACTGCCTGAACTTTAGATTTCTGCTCTTCATCATCCAGCTGAAAAGTTGTCAGGAGACTTTCACAGCTCTCCTGATTGGGATGCAGTGGTTAGGTGGGACCACTGACTGGGGTATTGCCTTCACTGAGCAGATTCTTGGTCTGTGGAGGATGTGGTATCCTTACAGACCCACTGTCTCCATGAGATTTCCATTTAGAGCTCAGACTTCTCCAGAGGCTTTCTGTGACTCATAATCCTGATATTTAATCAGAATGTAGGTTCTTATCACTTTTCCTAGATGATTGCTGTTGACCACAGTCTTTCTGATGACCCTTGGACATAGCCAAGTACAACCATCAACTAGACAGTGAACAGAACTCTGTTGAAAGACTGCCTGACCCTGCACTTGACTGGAAACAAACTGTTTGCTGATTGCAAGTAGTTTGGGGTCTTTTTTGTAGACTCTCCTTTCTTGTGTATTGAGGTGGGATTTACCTTGCTAGAGAGTCTCCTATCCACTGAGCAGTACTTTTCATACAAAATGATTTTGCAGCTTGCATGATTTTGCAGCTTTACATTATTGCAGCTCATTAATAATTCTGGACAGGAACGGATATGGTAGTAAAAGGGCAAATTCACCAGGCTGGAGGTCGCAAATGGTCCGTTAATTTGGTTTGCTGAGATTAGAGTCCACGAGTTAACATCCCAAACAGCAGAGGGGGAAAAAAATCATTCAGGAAAATGAATGCTAGGTTATTGCACATATACATGCCCATCTTTAAGCAATTATCCTTGCTTCCAGTAGATAAGGCAGCAGGTTGAACGACGCACCTGAAATTATATTATTTTATCCTACTGGGCTTTTTTTCATTTAGATAAATTGAGTAACTCTTAGGTCATGGTTATCTTTTTCTCAAGAACAGAATAAATTGTTTCCTCGTACCATTTAGTATTACCTGTCTTGAAAAGGGTGTTTGTGGCCTTAGCAGACTGTTTTTGCATTAATAGCACTTACAGTAACAACAGACGTGTCTTTGAAATGGAGTCTGCTCTGTCTTGTGTATTTTTCCTTTAAAAAATGAACGTGTACACGCTGTACTTCTAGGTGTCTGCCAGTGACCTTGTGCATTTTGTGTGCTGTGTTAAGGCTGATTGCAGATCAGATTGATTGCTTGTTTTATAGGACCTTAACCAGTAACACTGTTTAGTCAGCTTCTCCAGCAGTCACATTTTAATGAGCTTCAGAGAGATGAAGAGGTTCCTGAGCTGCATAGTCCTAACAGGCTGGTTTTCATTCCCCTGATCCCACTCTCTTTTCCTGCAGCACTCCAGCTCACGCCTGAGTTACCAAAGCAACATTCAGGGATCTTCTCAGTCCCAGAGTACAATGGGCTATTCCACGTCGTCTCAGCAGAGCTCCCAGTATCACCAATCTCATCAGTCTCACAGGTACTGAGGGGGCTAACAGACTGCACTCAGAAAGGAATGGACTAAAAACCAGAAGACTCCAGCAATATGAAGTTCATAACGATGAGAAGAACCAAAAATACAAACTATGATGCAGATTTAAAATTCACGATGACAAAAGGAAAGCTTCACTCACTGAAGACTTCCCTCTGCCCCCATGTCCCCGTCCCTTTATTGCCATAAAGGAGATTCTCGTGAAGTTTTCCTTCCTCTCTGCCCTTGCATGTGCTCCATTGTGGTTACTCTAATGAACCCTTCTGATCTGAACCCAGCACTTAACTTCTTTAACCTTTGGAATTTTGAAGGATTCCTGGTGCACCTTCCTTATGCTGTAGTGATTGCCATAAATCTGTCTTTTCAATCTCTTTGATGGGATTTTAAAGTTTTAAAATCTTGAACTCCCAGGCTTTCAAGCTTGTATATAGTTAGTTTTATACTAGGCAAACCAGTTTAGCTATACAGGTATATTGCACCTTTTTAAAGCACTATGTTATTTTCACAGGATATTACTGTTTTGCTCATGGATGTCAAGAACAGCAAAATTTTACTGTTCCAGAGTATTTTACTATTCTGTTTTTATTAGTCTAGTTTTCAGGCGAGGTCTTAAAAATAATAATTAAAAAAAAAATAAATAACATTAAAAAAAGAAAAAGGAAAAAAGAAAAAAACCCACCCAAGTCTCTGCAGCGACCAATATGCTTCATGCTACTGGACTAAATGCCAAACAGAAGATTGCTGATATTTCTTAACTCATTCACATTGAATTCTTGAAATCACAGTGATCATACTCGGACTAGTTTGAAATTAAGCGTTATTTGAAATGAAACCAGGACAGTCACATAGAAAGGAGATACTTTCAGGATCTGTTGGAACAGAAGAATGGAATGTCTTCCCAGGCTGGACACCAAAATAGTCAGGAAAATGTATTTACTGCCCTCAAGTCTCAGTAGAAATGTGGATGGCGGGCTCGTTTTTCTGTTAAGCAGCTGATTAATTTGTGTGAGTTCTATAAATTTCGCTTTCTTTCACATTCCTGAGTCAGTTTTCTAAATGTAAAGGTGACAGAAATACTAAGGCTTGCAAAAACAAATGCATTTAATCATTTTATGTTGCAATTAATAATTAAGAGAAATTACTGTGCAGTTTGAAAAGCATGTTGAAAACTGTTCCTTCTTCATGTTTATAATGCATATTCTGTGTCCCTCACATTGCTGTGATTAACCCAGATTAGTTACACCAGATGCGCTTGATTGCACTGAAATACTTCTTTTTCCCTAGAGCAAACATGTTTTGATTGTCCCCAAGGACTGTAAGTGGATGGGTAGCTGGCAGAAAATCCCCGATAAATAAGCAAGAGTTCAGAAGCATAATCAGAGGATTATTGTCCAACTTCTGCAGCCACAGCTATTCAGAGAGACACAACATATAATTTGGGACAGCTTCATTTTTGCCTTCAGCCTTCAGAAATAAGGTTGCTCTTGCTGCAGAAAACCTGGGAAAATGCATTTAGAAAGCTACTAGCAGTGTAACATCAGCGAGCTTCTGCGACCGGTGTCCAGAGAAGAGGTGAAGTGAGAAGAGTTTACACGTGAATGGTTGATGTTACAGACTTGTACAGTGCAGTGTGTTCTCTTCTGTCCTGTGTCCGTACAAAGGAATTGTATGTAGCCCTACACATTCACACCGAAGCTGCGATCAGACCTAGCAAGGTGAGTAAATCTCTTTGCTCTGAGGAGAATGCTTTTCATCACAGCTAGGCACATACATGTTGCTACTGGATTTGCTCTCCTAGTCACCTTTAGTGCCCCCTTCCTCCTCAAACACGTGTTGTTTTCATACCTTCTGTGAGCAGTTGGCTTGCTCTGGCCATAGCCACCATCACGTGGTTTTGACAACACGCAGCTTCTCTGGAAAAGCAACTAAAACCTGCTTTTGTCATCATATGGGTAAGAAGGTGGTGAAAAGGAAATGAAGCAATTTGAAGGAAAAAAAAATATTTCTGGGGAAAAATAATCTGCCAAAGGATACTTTCAGTGTGTAACCCTTGAAATACTACATACTATACGTACCCTAGTAGCCTGTTTGAAATAACATATTTTAATTGTTGTTTATTTTATTTCAATGAGTCTGGGGTTGCATTCTTTCCGTAAGTTGAATGTCTCACCTCTTACTGATGTTATGATGAGGTACCTTTGAGCTAATGGCTATTTGACCAATGCCATAAAGTAACATTTATTTCATATTTTGGTAACTTGAGTGTCACATTTCTGGAAGTTAACCTTTGGCAGAGTAATTTTTGTCCCGTCCTGTTCTTTTCTCCCTTCTGTTCTCTTAAAATCCTTTTGTTTTTCCCCATTATAGTTATCTAACATTTCTTCTCCATACGGTGACCTGCAGATAATCATCAAAGTTCATATAGCATCAGGAGGTGGCAGGGAGATGTGTTACTGTACGGTTAATTAAGGTGGGCTCTTGTGCCAATAAGGCAAAATCATGGTGTAGATTAATCTGTGTGTAGAGTGTGAAACTTCACAGCAATGTAAGGTGCTTTCATTGACTGAGCTTCCAGCTTCTAGAGTGACTGCCACCACCTCTCCCTAAGCTGAGCTGATGTTTCTCATCAGAAGCAGAAGCTCTGATAGACCACCCCGGGCCACTCCTCTCTAGCTTTTGTGCGCACACGCAAAGCCGAGCTGACTTCCTCCGTTGCCTTCAAACTTACAACTGGGAGGAGAGCGAATAAAAGCAAAAGCGTTTGCTGTGAAATGTAGGCTGTGCTCACTCTTCCCATTCCTTCCTGCTGGTGAAATAATTTGCCTTTTCTTGGGAGCTTGATGTGCGTTGCCAGCGGGGGTGGCAGTCACAGTGGAAGAAGCCTTGCTTTCCAGGGGCCATCCCGGGAGGTGAAAATGCTTTGCTTTCAGGAGTGAATCATGTGGTGTGTTGTGGGAAGCCAGGACCACATCATTTTAATGTTATTTTTGCCTGTGCAGTTTCATTAGTACTCATAGCTCTGTCTCTGCCCATAACCTTCACACCCTCACCAAAGTGTTTCACACCAGTACCAAGAGAGGCAGGTGACACCAGCAGAGCTGTCTTCTCCATCCTAGTCACCTGGTGGGAGAGCGGGACACTGAGTACAGCATTTCCCATTGTGGTTCAGAGGAAACAAACCTATGGGGAGTGAATGGGAATAGCAGCCTGGTCCACATTGGTGAAGTTTATGTAGCACAAACTGCACAATGAAGGAAAAATATAGGGAAAGCTGCGAGTCCTGCACTGTATCTGTGACACTGTATCTGGGGAGGGGGAGGGAAGAGCATTCGTAGCGGGAGGGGTGGCGGGAAGCTAGAAGTGTTCAAATATGTATAATATTTTATATAAACATAATAAGCTTAGTTCCCCTTCATAATCTTCAGGAATGGTACTTTAACACCATTAAGCAAAGAATTGTTTTAGGATTAAATAACTGTATTGTACATAAGGCCATACATAATCTTCTAAAAATGTCGCCAGACAGGAGCGATGTGTATTACTATATGAAAAAAAAAAAAAGTCCTTAATGCACTGTTATCCTCTAAATATTTAGTAGTAAATTAATACTATTTAATTTTTTTAAAAAATTGTCTTGTGTAGACACTAAAAAGTATTACGCAAAATCTGGACAGAACATGTCCTTTTTAACAGCAATTTAAAGAACTTTTTATATATGTAAGGTAGTAACTTTTCAAATTGTTCTAGTTGTATTTTCCCATGTTTACTATTTGTGGAAGTGTGCCTGTCTCTCTTCAGTTTTGGGTTTGTTTTTTTTCCTAATAATTTTATGCACGCATCTTTCATTTTTGTAGTTTTCATTAGAAATTATTGTGTATGCGCCTCATGCTGCCACAAAACTTTGCCACTCTGGATCTGTGGTGGCCACATTTGGCAGTGCCCGTGCCAATGGGCTAGCAAAACCACAAAGCAAAATACTTGTTTCTCATTCTAGAGTTGAGAGTTTACTGCTTTTAAGTTGTCCTGATGTCACTCTTGAAATGACTGTTAAAACTAAACTATGAGTTCATTGCATTTATTTTATATTCTTGGTTGTAATGAAATGGAATTGACTTTGCTTCATTGTGAATTTTTTTAATAAAATAATATACATTTGTAATAATAATAAAAAGTTCAAATCAAATAAGCGTGCTGAAAAGTTTTTGTAAGCATTGGCTTTGGGCTACCAAGAGGGAAAATATAACCCACAAAATTGCAGTTGTAATTATATTCAGGATGTTTATGATATCATACACCACACAAAACAAAGCTTGCAAAACCTCAGAGTTGAAATTACAGCTTTTAAAATGCCCACGAGGATACTTATGGGGATGTGTCTATCAAAATAGAATGAAGCCTTATGGAAAACAGAATCAGTGGAGTGGTTCTTAGTTTTTGCCCTCTGCATAGAAGTATTCTGGCATGCCATGCCAAGGCCACTTGGTGAGGTTCAGTATTACTTGCATGACGATCCTATAGACATGTCTTCTGAAAAAAAAAAAGCTGGTTTACTGCATTCTAAAGCTAAATGCCCTTTTACTTTTTCCTCCTGCTGGAGCTTGGAGGATTTTAAAAAAGTATTTCAGGTGACAACACGGAAAGCACGAGCTAGAGCACATTGTTGGGTTTTCAAAGTGTGGGGTTTTGTGTGCTTTGCTAGTCTGTGTGTTTCTGTTCCATCTAACCATTGTTTCACAGATGGATAGTTAACTACTTCCAAGAATCTCACCTGTCTTCTCCAGAACAGTTGCATGGGTAAGAATGGTTGGGATTTACTTGCACTACTAATCACGTTAAGAGAGAGGCTTTGGTTTCTGATGTGCCTTTTGCACAAGGATGAGAATAGAAGTAGCCTTTTGCCAAAAAGCTTAGTCTGCATCTCTGACACCTCATGGATAAGGAGCCGTTGCTTCAGCCTCAGTGTAGCTGAGCAGCCCCAGCTCTATACCCCTCACAGTTTCCTTTCTGCTTCTGCTGACCTCTTTGTTGACAGGATTGGGCTTAGTCAGCAGCTTTGACTTGGATGTCCGTAAAACCTCCTGTGTTGGCTCTGTCCCAATCTTTGTTCTTCTACGGCATCTCTCACTGTTTTTCCTACCTAGTCATGCAGTTTACAGTATAATCCAGCCTCATCATACTGATCTGAATTGTGGTGTCATCTCTTTCTCTGTCCTTGACAGCTAGACAACTTAGATTTTGCAGCCGTTCAGAAAGTTGCAGAGTAGGTTGTTTATTAGCCTCTTGCTTTGACTTGTTGCTTCCTGCTTTGCATTTCTGCCCTGGCTCTGCCGTCTCTGTTGCATTAGATGTAAAGCTACACTCTGCTTGCACATCACTGCCAAAGCCGGCTGTTACCCCATCCCTCTTGCTCAAATCAAGAAGTTATCTAAGTTATCTCATGTTGTGATCATCCCACCAGGGCAACCTCTACACCCCCCAATTTAGATTTCCAAATAAGCATTTTTATGCTCTGTTTTCAATTGCACATTGCTCCTGAGGACGCATTGCATAAATTTCTGAAAAATTCCCCGTTAGATGTCTTCTGCATCCCTCATTTAAAACCCTTTGGCTTTGACGTCTACATAAGTTTAAGT